ATAAATGAAAAAAGACCGAAAATTAAAAAAAAACACAACTGTTTTTCACTTTGTTATAAAACATTTTCAAAAAAAAAAAATGTAAAAAACCTAATTTCTTCATAAATTTAGGCCAAAATGTTTTAATTCTGCTACATGTCTTTGATCAAATAAATCCCAATAAGTGTACAATAATTTGTTTGCGTGAACGTTAAAACATCTACAAAGTGTTTTATACAACAAGACAGAGCCCTGAAGTGGGCTACACACTTGTTATCCACCAAGAGCAATGGGCACAAAGCAGGATAACCTACACACGGTGTAGTACTGCTAATAAACAGTTTAGAATCAGGAGCGTATTTCTACCTACAGGACATCTAAACTCAAGAACAAAAAATATAATATATATCTTGCCAGTTCTTATGCAGGCCATAGATGGTTTGAATACCAAACGATTTTTCGTCCAAAAATCAAAACCACCGTTTGCTCGGTAATCCGATGGTGCCATCAATGATTTCGAAAATTGACCGACCAAGTCATAAAGTTCACACGATATAACAGGCGAAACTTCTGTTCCTTCCAGGTCACGGCTCAATGGACCCCATTGACCAAAGGCTTGTCTTTTTTGCATTGTTATGATGAAGTAAACTTACCTAGACAACTATTGATGTGATGTTCCTTTGGGTTTCATACAAGGTGCCCCCTAGAGGCTCCTTAGTGTTTGAAAGCAGCCTAAACAGAGTCACTGCACTCTACAATGTAGACTCTACTGTGCAATCTACCACTCAGCCGGATAAGTTACATTGTTCAAACCGCACTTGGAGTCATGCCACGACCAGATCCATTTATTTAGAATGTATTGGTTAATACTTGCATGGTAACACCCTCAAACAGATGAGCGCAGCACCTCAATCACTTCTGTTACAGTGCTAATTTTGTATGATAGGCCCCCCTCCTAGATTGTAAGCTCGAAAGAGCAGGGCCCTCGATCCCCTCATGTTTTGCATTGTATTGGTATTGTTCTGTCACATGTTCTGTTCCCCTTTGTAATGTACAGCGCTGAGCGAACTATTGGCGCTTTATAAAATACTGTATAATAATGATAGAAAGGGGAATCATTCTTGAGAGGTTGCAGCAGCTAACCCCAATTTACCTGTCACCGTTTTAGGAACTCTAAGCTCTGTGTTTTTCAGAGTGCCTTCATATTGATTATTTACCCCACTATGATACATCTAACTGATGCTGAATCCAGCAGCTGAAACCTACACTCTCCATGTTATGTGTCTTCTGGCTCTTATGATATAGTATGACAACAGGTAAGTGTTTTTTCAGGTAGGTGTGCAGGTAGTGAGTTCAAATGTCCAGGCACATGTGTCTACAGAAACAAACCCACACAGGTCTTTACAGCATGGCATCTCTCTTGTTTACTGATTTGCTTCACAGCCCTGTTGGCTTATTACATTATATTATCTATACGCAAATAACCCCTGCCTGCTGCTTTATTTAGCATTTAAAGATTGCCAGCTCTCCAGAGAAGACAAGTCCTCCCTTGGTGATCCTATTTACAAGTTGTTTATGACACTATCATGCAAAGCGTCTCACAAGCTGTGTTGCTTGGGCCCTATACCTAGAAGTACACAAGTAAATGCATTCTGCATAATCACATTGAAATTAATGAATACGCAACAGCAAGACGTGCTTCACCAGAGACACATAACAGCTGAGGCTTTTTAAAGTAAAGTAATGAATGTATTCATACGGAAAAATAAACAAGGCTAGGAAATCAGTGACAGAGTTTCTGGAACAAAAGCTGAATGCACTTTTTGATAGAAACAACTGCATGGCCCACCTGCACACACCAACAAGATGCAGCATGCATATGTATTGCTGAGCGCTCATGGATTTTGCTATCAAAGCTTTATGCTGCAATTCAACCACAACAGCAGCTTATCAATTACTGGGCTTGAGGCAAATAACCTCCCCTTTTTGACTTACAAAAAAACTCATAACCGCCTGTGCGCTTACAAGATGATTACATCTGTGTGCAACAGGTCAGCAATGAGAGTAATTGTAAACCCATATATTTTTTTACTCGAAAAATTGGGACCTAGCAAGCGCTTACAGAAGCAGCTGTATGCACCAGTAAGGAACCACAAAACCTTTCTTCAACAAGCAAATAAAAGAAACAGTGCAGCGCTAAGGAAAAATGTATCTGTATAACAATAAAATGATAGAATTCTAAAATAGAGCACCCATATAAAATGTACATCAATAGAACCATATATAATAACGTGCTAAGTTGTATCCGAGCCCCTCTGATAATCTATATACGGAGAGTAATGGTGAGCAAGTCCAAGTATGTGACAATATATATCCGCTCTGTTATCCCAGTATGCAATCCAATGTGGTATCCGGTGAAAAGAATGGTAAGATTGCACACTCACCGGAAGTGCAATCTTAATGCGCATAGAATAACCGTAAAGGCCGGAGGTCTCATGAAAGGTACAGCCTGGTGAAGAAAATGAAGATGTCCCTCAAAGGGTCCCTTAAACATGTTGTTGGTATAAAGGTCTGGTCTAAGGCTTCCCTCCTCTGGTCCGAATGGATCACCTGGGGTCCTGGGCTGGGGTTTAAACGCTCAGTGCAGAGCAAAAAAATGTATGGATGCCCCATAGTGTAGTAAGTCAAGTACTGGAGACGTATGGTTATACGAAACGCGTCTAGGAGGAGCCCTTGCACGCCGTGATGTCACGCCGCCAGATCACGGAGGTCCGGCGGCCATCATTATCATCATACTGGTCAGTTTATTCAGCAGCTTTCATGCTGCCCTTTGCATAAGCCCACAGTCACCCTGTGCCTCAGTTTTTTATACATATGTATGTACTTCACTACTTATATTTTAATGCTCATTTAATAAATACTTGACTTACTACACTATGGGCATCCATACATTTTTTGCTCTGCACTGAGCATTTAAACCCCAGCCCAGGACCCCAGGTGATCCATTCGGACCAGAGGAGGGAAGCCTTAGACCAGACCTTTATACCAACAACCCGTTTAAGGGACCCTTTGAGGGACATCTTCACCATCGTCACCTGGCTGTACCTTTCATGAGACCTCCGGCCGATACGGTTATTCTATGCGCATTAAGATTGCACTTCCGGTGAGTGTGCAATCTTACCATTCTTTTCACCGTATACCACATTGGATTTCATACTGGGATAACAGAACGGATATATATTGTCACATATTTGGATCTGCTCACCATTACCCTCCGTATATAGATTATCAGAGGGGCTCGGATACAACTTAGCACTTTATTATATATGGTTCTATTGATGTACATTTTATATGGGTGCTCTATTTTAGAATTCTATCATTTTATTGTTATACAGACACATTTTTCCTTAGTGCAGCACTGTTTCTTTTATTTGCATATATTTTTTTAAATAACAAACATGTCATACTTACCTGCTCTGTGCAATAGGTTTGCACAGAGCAGCACTGAACCTCCTCTTCTCTGTCTCCTCCCCCCACAGTAATCTGCCTGCTTATGGGGGTACTCATATCCACTGACACACAGAGCATGACATGCGCCCCCCCCCATTAAAGTAGAAGTCCGGTCAAAACCTAACTAAGCTTAAACCTACTGTCACCCCCATTCTAAGCTCTAAGCTAGGTAACCTGTAAATGAAATATGTGTATACTGACCTAATCTAAGGGCACTCCGGACTGATCACATGATCTCCCCAGTGGCCAGCTTCAGAGGAGAGGATAAAGCAGCGACAATTGCAAAGCCTGGACGATGATGTCACCCATAGACTTACTGAGGTGTTCACTGTTTGCTGTTCCTCCTCTACATTGAAGCCGGCACTTAGACCCGATTACGTGACTGGACCAGAGCGCCTTTAGATAGGCAAGTACACAAATCTTTCCTTTACAGGGTAGAGAGCATAGGGCTTAAAAAGGGGACGGGATTAGGTTTAAGCTTAAAAGGATAAGTTCACCTTTTGGACAAAAAAAAACAAATGCACATTTTTTTGCAGGTAAAAAAATGTGCATTTATTAATTTTGTACAAAGGAGCCTGTAAAGCATTGCACCAGCGATCAGTAGATTTGACTGGACGACTTCTTCAAAGCGGATATCCAGCTTTTACTGACGTTTAAATATTTTGTTTGACCCAAGCTGATTCCATTCTATTTACTTCACTAAGACATGGAGCGGCTCTCAGCATTTTATGCCGCCTCAGCTTCATACAGTGTAGAGCGTTATCTTCCGGCTGTGGGATGGAAAATTCCCTATACACACCTAAAACACAAATCAAGTAGGGCTGAGCACTGCTCTGCCATTCCCAGGGAGCTTTGTATTCTATGACTGAATATACAAAGCTTCCTCTGACTGACATCCACCTGCCTCAGCCAATCAGAGAAAGCTTTGTATTCATTTGTAAAATACAAAGTTACCTGTGAATGGCTGAGCAGTGCTCAGCCCAACTCCGTTTTGTTCTGGATGTGAGCACATTTGCGGCTGTTGGACTTTTTTGTCAGTATTTTGCAGTAATGGGCCAGCATCCCATTCTGGATGAGCCAATCTGACTTCAAAACTAGTCAAAACTTCCAGAAGTTTTTCTATAGTGTTTGGTTGTTCTTTTGAATTGCTTGCCTGAAGTACTGTAGCCTGTATGTACTGCACACAAGGTAAAAAAAAAACACATCCGTATGCAAAGTGATTTATGTAATTGGGGTACAAAGAGATGTTCAGATAATTTAAAGGACCCCCCTCACCCCTAAATGATTATGGCTTAAGGATTTTATGAGCTCCCAGAGATGATGATATTTGAATTTTCAAAGAGATGACACCAGAATGCATTTGAGGCTGTACTTTTTTTGGGATTTTTTTTTTTTTTCGATACCTATTCCTTTGTGTTATTCCACGCTCATGGTTATTCTACTTAAACCAGTTAAAAGAACAAATATACATCCATCCACCTTTGTCAGCAGATTTACAGAAAATGACATACCTGGTCATACTCCAGTGCTCCAGGGTAGAGAGGCCATCCTAGGAACAGCTCAGCAATCACACATCCCAGTGACCACATGTCTATGGCTTCACAAAATGGCAACCCCAAAATGATCTCAGGAGCTCTGCAAAAGCAAAACAAAATTGGTTACTAGGTTAATGATCTTGGACAAAACAAGCTGTATTTGCTGTAAATATATATTTACTTTTTCTTTTTTTTTCGATACTTATGAATTGGAAGTGTGGAACTTCACTTTCTCACTCAACAATGACTATTTTTAATCCCTATGCTGCTACCATTAGTAAATAAATAGGAAAGTATGAGATTTGTACTTGTTTTAAACTTTATTTAAATTTCAGTTGCTTACTGGTGTTCAGGCCTAGGCAATGATATCATACATCCCAGGAGTCTTCAGGAGGGCAGGAGGAATTTTGTCAGCTAAGAACACCCTCCTACTTGCATGCTTGAGTTAAGGGCAGATGGATTCCAGGAAGTAAATCTACATGAATCATCGGCCCTTACCCAAGTCAGCAACAGCCAGAAATACTAGGGGGGAGTATTTTTCAAAAATATTTTCCAGCACAATAAAGCATGGAGACATAGATGGATGGGAGATTTTGCTTTGAATATTAAAAATTAATTAGCATTTTAGGTTTGTGGTGCTCAGATGCAGTGTTGTTCCGCTTTAAAGTAAATTAAAGGCAAGACTAAGTTTTAGACAACGTGGAGAAGGATTAGAACACCTAATTTTTTTTTTGCTGTCTGTGCCCGTTTGGGAGATTAATGTTGGGCTGTCCCAGAACAGGAATAGTGGGAATATTTTCCAGTGTTGAAAATAGGTATAGTGAATGTGGTGACAACCAGGTATTCCCTCACTTAAGAGGGATATTCTCTTATCTCCTGTTTTGGCTATGGGGCAGAAGTGAAAGGAAAGCTGCCCAATGGGACAGATGTCAAAAATAAACCTTACAGGGGTTATAAGCCTCCATTACTCTATAAAAAAAAATTAAAAAGTTTTGCTTTTAGTTGTACTTAAAGCAGAGTTGCACCCAAAAGGGGAAGTTCTGCTGCTTCTTCCCCTGGCTCATCTTTCAGAAATGGCCCTTTTTTTTGTGTGGGGGGGGAGAAGACAACATTCACAATGCGCAGTGAGGCTCCTGCATGAACAATGGGCACTCGACAATGAGGCCGGAAGCCGTCACAGCCAGGAGCCCACAGTTAAGATAGCGGCGGCAAGGACTGAAGATGGGTGGAGAAAACAGCTCCAGTGAGCACAGCGCTGGATCCAAAGACAGATGAGTGTTTATTAACAGCAGCTACAGTTTTTAGCTGCCAACTTAATTTTTACAAATATGACTGGAGCTCCCCTAAGTTTTTTTTTCTACTATTGTCAAATGCCTCATACCAGTCATATTACGGCAATACGCTTTTGCAAGGATTCAAAAACGTATTAATCATTCCCTACAGTGGTATGTTTTGGTAATAAATGCCAATATCAACTAAACCAGGAACAATGTGCCTCTACCTTTAACTACAAATATTCAAATAAATACTCAAATCCCCAAGAACAGGTATGGACATTTACTATTTAGTAAGTAATATGCTTCCAGGTAAGGAAAAAGAGATCTATTTCTAAAAAGCTATGTTTCATAAAGTGTCCTCACATGACCTCTATCATTTATTTCCCTGTTTTGCAGCTCAGGTGGCAAACATCCAGGCTTTAGAAATATACTTGATGAAAGAGCAGGTTGTCTGAAACCTAACCAAACCCAATTCAGACTGGAAAGCTGAACTCAACACTTCACATTTGAAGTGTCTTATAATCAGCACAAACCCTTGGACTACTCTTACTGCTGTGGAGAAACCAACTAAAACAGTCTTAATCAACTAGGGTTCTTCCAGAGGTAGCTAGGGGTTCCCCGAGAAAAGAGAAATTTCTGCCTCTCAAATAAGCCACCAATGCCACCAATGATCTTTTCAGCTTTTTGTAATGACCATTCTTTCCACTGACCACCACTGTACTAGGTCCCTTCAATCACTGACCATCAATGGAAGGGGTCACTTTTCTACTATCAACGTTAGGAAGAGCTACAATTTTTCATTTATTTTCTGGCCATTATTATTTGTTTCACTTCAATAAAATGACTACCAATATGGTCATGCAGAGCACCCCTGGGTGTAAAATATGCCAAATATGACACAATCATGGTATTTATTTTTAAATCTACAACTTACTGTTTACACTAATGTTTTGCGATCTGTAGATACAGTAAAATAGATATAATTATTACTGGGGATTCCTTAGACCTGAAAGCTATATCTAGAGTTGCTTCATGTTAAAAAGTTAGCAGAAGGCAGGTGTAGAGACTGAGCCTCAAAATTTGATCCTAAAAAAAAAAACAGTGTCTAAAGCAGTAAAGTTTAGGGGGATCAGACGCTCCATTGAGGGACATTTACCAATTCTGTCACTCAACATGACAATATCAGAATTAGGACTTGTTTACATCAGTAGCTATGCAAGAATGCAGCCGCTGGTTTGCAGAGAGAAGTCTGCAGTGCCATGTGCTGGAAACTTTCCAGAACTTTAATGACATTTTATAAAGTGACATTTCAGTTCAATGAGCCGCGGCATGGTACAACGCTGTGGACTGCGCCTAATTAGAAACAAAAGCATTTGCCTTGTCTATGCATTGGACAATGCTGCAAAGCAAAATCCCAATACATGTGGTGTAAATGAGTCCTTAGTACAAAGCCCCATTCACACTTCCAAATGGGGCTTTGAACAGTCAGATGCATGATATACAGACAATATGTGTCCAGGGCAGATCACTCATGTATTTGCTTCATGAAACTGGCCCATTGGAGTTCCAGCATATGATCACACCAGGCCCCATTCACATATGTGAATGGGGCCTAAGAGTTCGGCTTCATTCATAAATTCCTCCCTCTGAAGCTCTAAAGTAGCACTGAAATAAACCTTTCCTGACCACTTCTTAATTGGATGTATGTTTGAAGTATAATTCTGTCTCATCTACAATGCTAAATCTGTCTCCATTGGCTGCTCAGGATTATAGGCTCAAGAGTCGCAAATAAACAAACTGTTGTATTTACTTTGCTAAATGAAATCCAATTTGATTTGCCTCCAAATTTGCTGTTTGTGTCCATCCTAATCTTATCATGTCCATCATAGAAAACAAACATTTCATCACAAGCAGGACTCATTTAAAGTAGGCAGAACATTAGCTCTACTAAGGGTAAAAACAATTCACAATGAATTACAATTTTATTACAGCAATGTACATGAACCTAGAAAACCCATAGGACCGGTTCACACTGGAATTGCACAGAATCCGGGTGCTAAATGAGCTGCAAATTGCAACAGAACGAAGAAAAAGTAATGCATGTACTGCTTTTAAAAAAATGTGCAGCACCAATATGCATGGACCTGCAGTACCATGTGATTTGGTGCCTGCAAACGCACTAAGGGCTCGTTCACACTTGACTGTTTTACTAACTCTTGCCAAATGCCCCTATAGCGTTTGGCAAGCGTTGGTCTGGCGTTTGCGGAGCGGTTTTTAACGCTCGGCAAACGCCGCATACGCGGTTCAGCGGCGGTTGCTAGGCGGTTGCCGAGTGTTAAAAACGCCCTACAAATGCCTATAATGAAGTTTTGAATGGTGTTACCGCTCCGCAAACGCCCCGCAACCGTGTCGCAACCGAGCGGCACCATAGACTAAAATAGGAGGCTTCAACGCCTCCTGACAAGACCAGAGGCGTCCATTTTGCCGCGACGCTAACGCTCCCGTTAGAACAGCACCATGTGCTGCAATGTGCAGAATTGTCCAAGGCGTTTGGGAAGCGGTAAAAAACGCTTCCCAAATGCCTTTCTGCCGCCTGCACACAACGCTAGTGTGAACGTAGCCTAAATCTGCATTTGGGGTGCCATTAACATTACATTGGCACCAGCATGCAGATAGCAAGGGCAGTATGTTTGAATGTGGTGCAAAAACAATGCGCTCGAGAACGTGCTTTTCCCACAGCAACGGTATCGTTTGAACTGAGCCTTAAGCAGAACATACTCTAGATTGGGGTTTATCAACCTTTTTACCTTGGAGGAACCCCTGGAAAAAAGTTTGAAATCTTGGGAACACCTGAAAAACATTTTCATAGCTACAACTCATGAACATTTGATCTGATCAGCGAGCTGTAGTTACAACAATTAAACAGCATTAAATAACAGAATAAGAAGGGAAAAAAAACAAATGATCTCCTTAATGTGAAACTTGGGTTTGCTTTCTTCTGAACAGACTCAATTGAGAGTCAAATTTGAGATGAGCACGCAGGGAGTTGCTTTCCTCCGCATGCAGAGCAGCTCAGGAAAGCTGCTGTTGTAACATACCTTTTCCCCTTGATCCTCGCTAGTCCTCCTCTCATCCATCCAAGGTGATATCACATATAAGAGCCTGGGACAGACAGAAGAGGAGGACTGGTGGGGAACAGTGCAGTAATTATCAGTACGCTTCCCTGCACTGCAAATCTATAACACAAGGTTTCTCAAATGGGTTGCCACAAATCAATATAATGGCAAATATAGCCTATGAAAGAATATTTTTTAAATCTAAATATACATTGTTACTAAGACATAGATAACGCTCAATTTAATTCGATCTGTAATTTCACAGCACAGCAGAAAAATTGTTCAGAAACTGGATTGCACACTTCCACCTTCTGAGTACATATGTTTGACTAGGTGACAGGGTCACTTTTCATGGATTTAGCCATCCTTAGTTGATGTGAAATCTGACTGAAGGTGGTTTCTGGTGCCAGTGCTGAATGCCTGTATTGTACAGTGGGGATCGAATGTTTGGGCACCCCAGCTAAAAATTTGTATTAATGTGCATAAAGAAGCCAAGGAAAGATGGAAAAATCTCCAAAAGGCATCAAATTGCAGATTAGACATTCTCATAATATGTCAACAAAAGTTAGATTTTATTTCCATCATTTACACTTTCAAAATAACAGAAAACAAAAAAATGGCACCTGCAAAAGTTTGGGCACCCTGCAGAGTTAATATCTTGTACTGCCCCCTTGGCAAGTATCACAGCTTGTAAACGCTTTTTGTAGCCAGCCAAGAGTCTTTCAATTCTTGTTTGAGGTATCTTTGCCCATTCTT